AATTGAATTTTAATCTATTTTTAGCAATTAAGAGCTTGGCAACACACAATAAATACCTTTATTAAGCAATCATTCATATTAGCTACTTATGGAAAATGTCCTAGCATGCCTACTTGAGGATGATCCTTCTCATCCCAGAGTAGGAGATCAGACACGTTTCAGTTGTTCTTCCAAGAACAGGGACAGATCTAACCGAACAACTACACATTCCTACCCCTGCCACAATGCCAAACACACACACACACACACACACACACACACACACTCTCTCTCTCTCTCTCTCTCTCTCTCTCTCTCTCTCTCTCACGTGTGCGCAAACATACTTACATGCACACATACTTCACAGAACAGTAAGCTAGAGTATTGGTCAAATGTTACACACTAAGGATTAGAACACACTGTCCCTGGATTTCTTGCTCATTGCCTCAACCTTTGAAAAACCACTTAAAGGAGCTCTTTAGGACAAAACAACTGCTCTAGTTCTATGAAAACCATAACTAAACAATAATACACAAAGAACCTGGACAGTGCCAGTATGACTGAAAATCAAGTACTCAACCCAAACATCAATTTACTGTGTCTTTTCGAATGAGAATACCTTTCTATATTTATTTTAGGAATTCACATCTAGTGGAGATTGCAGTCAGATAAATGCTACTGTTCTCTCCTGACGTTTTTTTAGAGGAGGTAGAAAGGGTGAGAGGAGGAAGTAAGCATTAAGAAACACATAGGGGCCAACACACAGTCCACGGCCAAAGAAACTCAAGGCCTAACGATTTTGGAAAACTCTTCATTTTGTTAGGTAATCTGAATTACAAATATAAAATAAAATTAAGGCATACAGAGAAAAAGGCACTACTAAAAATTAACAAATTTCTTTTCATTGAACTTTAACCAGTGTTAAAATCAAATAAATATGAATGTCACATCTAAAAGTAAATGCTAAATTTAATAGGATATCAAAAGAATCTGACCTTAGCAGAAGTAACACTTGACAAGTTCAACCTCTATCAAAGATTTTTCAGTATTTCAACGCCTAAAAACCAAAATAAAGTTTTGGGTATTTTTTTCCCTTAAAACAAAAACAATAACAACAGCTGGGGCGAGGGAGAACCCCAATACAGTGTGCTAAGGAATAAATGTTCCACTGTCCCAGAACAATCTGGGGCTGTGTTGTATAGTAAGAGCAGGTTCTGATAGAAAGGCTGTCTAACCTGGGATATAGAGATACTTTTACTCTAATCCTCTTGTTAATATCTTTGGAGTCCATAATAGCCAAGTTATCTAAAATTTCTTCCTTATTTTTTCATATAAAAATCCTAGCATTTTCCATCACTGTTTAACTTTCAGAGTTAGGATATGCCATAAAGTAACTGTCTGCCCATGCTCCTCAATTGTAATTTCCTGAATGGTATTAATTTAATGTAACACAGTACATCACAACTGTTGAATAAGAAAATGAAAAATATTGACCCTATTTCTAAAAAAAAAAAAAAAAAAAAAAAAAAAGGCAAATACATGTTTTCCCAGCACCCAGGAGGCAGAGGCAGGAGCATTTAAGTTCCAGGCCAGCCTGAAACACAGAGTGAGAACCCTGTCCAAAAGCACAAACTAAAATAAGACTGACGTATTTGTATACCTGGTTGTCTCCAGCTGAATGTACATAAAGGTTTTCAGACCCCAAATGAAACCGTTATCATGAACTCTGCCATTAACCAAGGAGCCTGCATCATACTGGGTCATCTGCCAATCTAGTCAGGTTTGATTTTATTTTAGTGATTTGACAATCTTCTAACAATACTATTTCAGAATAGTACAGATCAGACCTGACCAATGTCAGAACTTAGTAGCAGAGAGCTATTCTAAAGATGTATATTTACTCTTTTTATGTAACTTCTAATGGGAGTAAGGTAAGACTCAAATGAAAGCCAGTTACATTTATCCTGAAATAAAAGCTTTATCTTTTATAGTCCAGCATGTGCAATATTTGACTTCTCATATGTTGTAGATTGTGCCTCTTAATACTATCTAAGGCAATAGTCATAGATGTTTTTAAAGTTAAAAATATATTTTTGTAAACAAGAAAAAGTGCTGAAATTTTTCAAAGTATTGATTCTGAAACCTCAAAACATTTAAATACCAATCCATTAAAATTTTATTAGTTATGTTTTTCAACTCTTTTATTCAACTACTTTTGTTTGCACTGTAAAAGGTCTTCCACTTGACAATCCCGTCATGCCACTTTGACTCTCTCAGGACCTATGCAGAAGGTGCTTCCTGAAAGCATATCTGACGCTGCTAGTGGATCTGCTCCAGCACCGGAAGTCTGCTACTGGCAATGCAGAATGCATTTAAAGGCACAAAGTCAGCAGTTTGGCCATTTTCCAGCCACAAAGAAACATTGCAGTACCAAAGAATCAGTTGTGCATTAAAAAAAAAAAAAACAACAACATTTAGAGTAATTTTTTACAATTTAAACTTCATCTGTTAATCCATACCATTAGGCAGAAAAAACATGGAGTGTAGTATTTTAATTCCTTTGATAACATTATTTCCTTTTAAAATTTTTTTTTTTTTACATTTACTATTGGCCTTCCACATCCCTACCTACTTCAAACTTTTTTGCTCTAGCAGGGTTTATATATATTAACTTTCGTTGTGTTTTTGGTACCTTCACAATTGGTTTGAAATAAATTCACATCATATTTAATATAATAGCTCTGTAAACTGTCTATTTCTAAGTCTTTATAATTTTTTTATAAAGCAAAAGTATTCTGATGCAGCTATTTACTAGTGAGTTTAGAAGAAAAAGAGGAGACTGGTAAAAAGCTAACAATTTGCTTTGAGTTCCAGTGTGCAGGTATCTTTTTGAAGAGTGTTTGTATCTCTTCTGTACTGCACATTACCCTGACGGACCAAAAATGAGCCAAAGGGAAATCACAACCACACTAAGAGACAAAGAAACAACAAAAGAAAGAAACAAAAGAACCCAGCAATACAGGTACCATGATCTTACTCAAGTGGAAAAGATGCTCTCACTCATAAAAGATAAAGAAGTTACAATACACCTATACATTAGGTCTCCAGCATAAGATTAGGCAACTGATTTGCTACAGGTGGAGGCACCTGACTCCTGTTCTTTGAAGGGGTTTCATTTGATTTACAGTGTACAGGAGAAGGGGTTAACTAATTATTTGTGCTTTGACTTTCAGACTACTGGAATTTCAAAAATTATTACAAAGTCGGCCAGGTAGGATCTTGATATATTAAAGCCAGATCTACATAACTTCAAAAGCAAAGTACTTTTAAAAAATCTAAATAAACATACATTGTATAACAACAACAACAAAAAAAAACAGAATATCTGATTTAGTCCTTTCTGATGAAGCATCACATTCAGGGTCTCCTGGAAGACTTGTTATCTTCTAGACTTTTGAAAAATAAAATACTTAGCACTTGGTTTAATACGCTGAAAGATTTGCAAGTGGCCAAATTACTGACACCTTCCCATTTTAAGTCTCTTAATTGTACTAGAAATGGCAGGATCCTTCCCAGCATAGTCTTTCCATTTAATGACATGGCTCTAAGGAGATGCTTACACTAGAAATACCTGGCAGTGTCTTAACCTCCCCACTGCTAGTAAACACTAAGTTTTGGTGTACTTTTCTTGACCTAAAAGGAGGAGCTACTTTTAAGAAAAGAACATACAGAGATGCTATATTCAAACAGTTGAATACTCAAATTCATTATTTCTAAAGTGAGTTAGTGATTCAAGTGCAACCAGCAGCTGTCAAAGGACTGATCATTATCTATTGAGTTGAGACTGTTCACCCAACTCACCATCTGCTCTTATGAAGCCCTCGTTTGCCCTCACCACTCCTCTGAACTCTGTTTTGACTGCTTGTGAATGGCTGCTTGGTTTCCATCCTAGGCACTTTTGTCATGTGGCAGGATAACTCCTGGGCAGGGAGTCCTTGTGCACTACAGTCTACTTAGCAGCACCTGCAGCCCCTGCCCACCGGATGCTAGTAGTACCTTGCCAGTTATGGCAACAAAGTGTCTCCAGGCATTGCTAAATGCCAAGTGAAGTGAAATGACTCCCCATCACAAACCTCATTGTTTTCCCTGATGTTTACTCTTCTGAGGAGCCTCTAGTTTAGAACTCATGACCCCAAGAACAAGGGTTTTGTTTCATTACAGGGTATTTGAGCTAAAGACTGTTATCTAAGAGAAACCAGGGGTTAAAAACAGGAAGCTATTATATAAACACAATTTTTATTATTTCTCAGTTCCCTCCATATTGGGTCTTTCGCCTCAAGTAAATAATGTTTAAAATATACTAAATAACACTTAGTTCTTTTTTTTCCATATTTTTCTACTGACTGGCAAATGTTGTCTCTTCTACTGCTCACACATTTAATGAGCAGTCGTCTTGAGTTTTAGCTGAATTTATTCATTGGCTTCACATATCTGCTTCAAAATACAATGTTTAAAGCAGAAAGCTGTATCTCAAGGTTTATAGAGCCCAGTAACACAGCTCTAATATAGTGTATTTACCTATTATACTGATTAGGATTAACAAACATACCTCTTAGAGATTGGTATCTTCTATTCAAGATTCCTACTGAGCAAAAAAGCTTGATAGATAGAGGTTAGGATCTGAAGAATACAGATCTAAGAAACCTATATTCTTTACGATGAGTACCTACCCTAAACTCAAGGTTAGGGCTCAACCCCACAAATAAGGATCTACTTAAATACTATCACTAAAAACTACAAATTGTACATCACTTTCTTCTCTTTGTCTTCCATGTCAGTGATACAGGGTAAGACTACAATCTTTATATATTCCAAATGATTTGTTTGTACTAAAAGGAGCAACTATGTACTAAAGTGCTTTATAGCTCTGAACCACATCAGTACATTATAAAAATCTTTAAAAAAAAAAAAAAAAAGAAGTTTCAAGTTCTTGTAAAGAAAAACAGATTAAATATAAAAAATTTAGTTTACTATTATTATTAAACAAATTTAACCAAGAATCAAGAGAAATATTTTCCCTCTTGTCTTTTTCTCCCCATCTCTCTTTTTTATAAAAAAAGGAAAGTGCAGTAAGAGAGACGGTGACCGTGAAGATGGAGCTGGTGGAAGACCAGAGCCACTGGCTGCTAGTGATAATGCACAAACATGTGCCGTAAGAGCTCCTCAGCTGAAGGGCGCAGTTTGGCCTCGACAAAAATCCGTTTGAGGAAGTCCCGAGTATAGTCTGAGACATGAGGTGGCAGCTTTGGGTTTGTTGGCTGAGTGGCGATCTTAAAGATGGCAGCCATTGCTTCAAATTCAGCCCAAGGTGGCTTTTCAGTTAGCATTTCTACCACAGTACATGCTACACTCCTAAAAGGAAATAAAAAGGAGCATTACCCAAACAGAACTTCAGGAAAGAAAGCTGGTTAGCCGGAAAAAATGATAAGTTGGGATGAAGTCAATATTTTTTATTACAAATACAAAGTTTCACTCAAAGGTTAATTAAATAAAATTAATTAATTCAAACATGAAAATCAATGAAAGGTTGGAACAACACACATTTCAATGAAAATATAATTATGATCACAAATGTATGGTTAGGTAAAGAACTTTTATTATTTTTGTTTTAGATCATTTTCTAACATGATGTTAATAATTTTGTCTCCATCCTACAAAGAATATAAACATTATAAATTGTTTGCTTTGAGTTCCTAAAATGCATATTTTTTTTTCTGGTTGGGAAGTAGGAAATGGTCATTTTTATGATCTAACTAAAAATTATTATGTAATTTATCAATTCAATTTTAAGGCACTAATAACTAAACATACAGCCCTGCCATAACACAGCCCTGCCAGGGGTATAGGCCACCAGCATAATTTCTCTTCTTCCTTACCTAGGAGACTTGCAGATACCTTAAATCATGCAGAATCTAATAATCTAATAAAATGTATTTTCCAAAAACAATAGAGCTAAGCATATTATAAAAATACTACATCAAATCACCACCACAGCAACAGATTTTATTTCTGTAAAGAAATCATCTATTTATTGTAAATAATTATATGAGCTGACATTCAAGATCCTTGGAAAATATGATGGTGCAATCAAAACATAATTCAGCTATTAGTGGAGACATCCTTGTTCTTCAAACACATAAATAGAAATTACATGAAGACCTATCAGAACTGCATTACTTCTCTGTATGTTTTTAAATTCTTACGTAGATACCCTGCATAATGGAAAGTTTGTCGAGTATGATAGTCCCATATCAGTGATGAGGAGTTGAGATCTGTGTTAGGCTGGGTGGGAATGGTCAGGAGTGGTGAGTTCATCTCCTCAGGAGATCTCATAATCTGCTTCTACCCCAATCATTGTTTGTAAACTCAACCATCATACAGGTAGCTATTATCTGTTTTCAAAAGTTTATACATAGCTTTGTAATTTAGAAAAGAAAAAAATCTCTGAATCATTTTTTGTTTTTTGTTTTTTTTAAAAGATACTGATAAGAAAGAATAAAAGTTATTCAGGGAAATCAGAGCTTTTTAATGTTGAGATCTGCTTAAGACAAAATCCTTCCAAAGAAGGAAAATTGGTTCAAAGACTCCAATATTCAGTCAAGGTTGCCTTGACAAGGTATTGCTGAAATGGTATTAATACTTACAATTTATATATTCTGCTTCCAAGGTACAAAGGATAATTTCAACTGGCAATTTTAAATGTAGAGAAAAATAAGGTACCTTTCCAGATAAATCTGATGTCCAAACTTACCAGATATCTGCTTTTCTTCCATAGCCTTCTCCACTAATGACCTCAGGACTCATCCAGTATGGTGTGCCTGTGACGGACTTCATTCCTGTACCTGACAGACAGATGGTCTGAAGCCGTTTGCTAGCCCCAAAGTCTCCTAATTTGATATTGCCTGTGGAATCCCGTAAGATATTTGCTCCTAAAAAAATAAGAAATAGCCTTATTACAATGTTTTTATTCTATTTTAATGATTTTCATTTTAATGATTTTATTTTATTCTGACATTTTAGAATGTATATAAGTGACAGAGAATTACTTTGTAGATCCTAATCTGCCTCCAAATCAGGCTGTTGTCCATTCTCAACAGCCTATTTATCTTGCATTAAGCATCTGCTGTTTGTATGTTACTTAGCCAGATGTCTCAGAAGCTAGTGAGTTTCTCCTATAAAGGATGGGACATGGGCAGGTAAAGTGAAAAGAAAGGAGAAAGGGCTAAGAATAAAGCTTGGTAAAGGACCAAGAGAGGCTCTGCTCCACTTGCTATAAAGCAAGAAATCCATGGCTGAAGACTATTTTCTTGATAACCAGCTTCTCTTCAGGAACTTCTAAAAGTACTATCATAATCAAAACTAGGATCATATGTTTACTCCAATATACTTAAGTATTAGTTAACTGTATTTTAAGGTATTTTAAGGTTTTTCTTTCTTGTTGCTGTTGTGATTTTTAATTCAAATCTTTACTCTATAGCTCAGACTTGCCTCAAACTTCCTGACTCAGCCTCCTCAGCATTGGGATAACAGGTATACACCACCATGCTACACTTTTTCTTTTAATGATTTCTATGGAGAAGGCAGGACAGTACAGATAATCTTTATTACAAACCATGGAAATGTGTATTCTCCACCTTCACATTGAGCTTCTATTTTCCCAGAAAATTCCCCATCCTTACCAGCAGTACTTCTCCACAGGAGTTTATGATGCCTCTCATCAAAACCTATTAAGCTTAAATGTCTGACCTACCAGTAATCTTCTAATGTAGGTGTAACTCTACTTACTTATGGTCTCCTACCATCTAGTATATAAAAAGGGACTCAAAAAAAAAAAAATAACAACAATACCCAACCATCTCTAGAATATTTAACTACAAAGAAGCAAAACAGACTTTTGTTTGCTTGAGCTGTGGTCTTGCCATGTTCAGACTGACAACTTGCACTCTTGGGCTCAAGTGAGCCCCCAAACCTATCTCAGTTTTCCTAAGTAGCTTAGACTACACATGCTTACTAAGCCAGGTTTTAGTGCCTATAAGCAGAAAAAGACAACTTCCCTTTACACACACACACACACACACTCCACACTCCACAGACAAGAAGAGTCATCTCTAGGGAGGTGGCATCAATACTGAACCAATGTTCACCCACAGCAGGAGCTGGGGGAAGAAATAGGTAGCCAGGTTGCCAATATAGTTTCTATTTTTAAAAACTACTTATATTTTAATAAAGTAAAAATTAGACTTTTCAAACACATACAAGAATAAAAAGAACTGCTTGTATTCCCATTACCCAGATTCAACATCCAAGTGGACAACTGTTTTGTCAACTTATTGACACATACTTTCCCTCTTTTCACATAGTATCTGAGACAAACTCAAGGCAGTGAGATCAATAAAGAAATAAGTGCATATCTTTAAAAGATAAAGTTTCTTATCACACCTAAAAGTATGAACAGTATTTAATATTATCAATTTTAATGATTTTTAATTAATTTTTAATTTAATGTTATATTCAATTTTTTACAGCAAAAAAGAACCATACAATTAAGAGCCACATATTAAGTCTCTCAAATATTCTTTTCATTTGCAATTAGAAAGAAAAATTTAAAAACTCTGTTCCTTACTTAAACCTTTCTAACAGTTTAGATTTTGCTAATTGCATCCCAAGGAGTCATTATAATCTGCTGTCTGTCAACGCTATAAAGGCTAAATTGTGGTGCGTGCATGTATGTATGTATGTATGTATGTATGTATGTATGTGTGCATGTGTATATCCTACTTGGGGTCGCTGGCAAACATCCGTAACCTTAGTACTCAAGAACCAAAGGCAATCACCAACCTGGACTATAAAGAGATACTGCCTCAAAACAACAAAAGACACAAAACAAAACAGAACAAAACAAAACAAAACAAAGGACACTAAGGATGGGTAAGGGGGCTTGTATTCAAGCATGACAACATGCATTCAGATACTGAACATACACATAAAAGCTATGTGTATCTGCATGCATCTAGGACATAGACAGGAGGTTGAATAGTACTCTTAGCCAGCCAGCTTAGCTGGAAAATGGTAAGCTCTAGATTTGGTGAAAGATCCTGACCCAAGAAAATAAGACAGAAACAGAGCAGGACATTTCCTGTCCTCTTCTGGCTTCTGTGTCTCTGTGTGCGCACATAAACATGCACTCACTCACCACCTATTCCTACATACAAATAAAATCATTTAACAAAACAAAGTGTCCTTTTATTAACAATTTGGTCTTCAATAGTATAGTTCCTTTGCTTTTTTCAATAGCAGGCTGGCTTTAAACTCCTAGAGATCCACATGCCTCTGCCGCTTCAGTGATTAAAGGCATGTACTACCCACCATGCCTGTCAACAGTACAGTTTCCTGGAGGGAAAAAAAAGATAAAGAACAGGGCCAGAGAGATGGCTCAATGAGTAAAGGTACCGTACCTGTAACATATATGGTGGAAGAGAATCAACTCCTTCAAGTTGTTCTCTGCCCTCTGTGCACACACTGTGGCACTAGTATGCATGTGTGCCACACACACAAATAAAATGTGATGAATTTAGAGAGAGAAAGAGGAGGAGAAGGAAGGCGTGGGAGAGGGAGAGGAGAGGGAGAATAAGGGAGACTTTAGAAATGAGTAAGCTTCCTAATAGTAATGATTCCCACAGGTATAAAATTACATAAAATCAATTATCTTTACTTTCCTTTTGCCACTTATAAGTTATGCATAAAGTTAGAAGACACAGAACAATTAAAAAGTATACTGTAGAAAACAAATAGCACTATGTTGCCATTTGGTGGCCATCATTTTCCTTCTGTCATGCTTAAATTTACAAGCTTGAGGGCCTATTTTCTCCCATATCAATATATTTGTCTTGTAATATTTGTTCATCAGCTTGCTTCCACTCCCATTCACCTGGTCAAGGCAGGTTATCATACATTCTGGGAAGATTAGAAGATCTATGTATTACAGACATGGCTCCCTCTGTTTCTCTCATTATGAGAGCCAAAGAGAAACTGGCTTGACTAAGAACAAATTTTCCTAACTGAATTTCTTTGTACGGTTCTTTAAGCTATCAGGTTTTATACATAATAAGCCCCAGTCTGGTGCACGTCATCTGCCTCAGGAACTCTGCATACTAGAGTCATACTAGAAATTAGTGTTCAATCACCAGAAATGACTGACAAGTTTCCTCTTGGCCTCATCTGCACAGTCAGGATGCACCACACAGACAGGAGAGCAGAAGTCTGGGAACTTGTAAAAGTGCCAACAAACATCAATGACTAAATATTATATGCACACATTTACATTTTTAATTCAGTGATTTTAATTCAGTAATTAACTGTAAATTTTGAGTCATACACAGTTTTTTAGACTCAGGTAGGCTCAACAGTACAGAGATTTGAGCACTTTCAAGTTTTACACATCTCTACCATTAACTCACTTCACACAGTCATGTCTGTGTCTGATGCTTAGGGGAAAAGTGAATGTCCCCTAGCTGGAGTTCATCAGAGCTCAGTCTCGGGATCTTTCCTTCCCTCCTCTTTATTCTTTCACAACATTTATTCCCATGACTTTACATAAACTGCAACAAAAAATATGTCATCACAGTAGCTACATTTTAAGAAGTGAGCACCAGAATTGTTTTAAATATTGCAACATGTTAACATATTTGATCCTTTCAAGAATCCCATAAATTGAATACTACTGACTCTCACTTAAGAATAAATAATGAGGGGACAGAGGTACATCTCAAGGATAGAGAACTTGGGCTAGTATATGCAATTTCCTCGGTTCCATATCCAGAAACTAGAGGTTTCAACTTGGGGAGGGAAGAAAAAGATGAAGGATAAAGGAGAGAAGGGGATAGAGAGATTCATGAGGATATAGAAAGGTTAGTATGTCCAAGGCTATAGTTAATAGCAGAGAAAGTCCAAGTCTTAATTCAACTCTGTGGTGGCAGAGCCTCTATTCACTACTGTAGGCCTAGTCAACACACACACAAACATGCCCACATTACTCTTGGGTTTCTGAATGAAATCCATTCTATGGATCCTTACAGCAAAGCTATCATTCAAGAAAATCTGAACTGAAGTCTGACTAAACACTGACAGAGTCCATGAGAAAGCTGTAGAAGTGTTTTCCTATGGCAGTTTACAGGTAGATATATCACCTTAAAAGTCCAATGCCATGATGACATTTCTTTCATTCAAACTCATAGCAAACTGTATTTAAAGTAAAAAGTAAACTATGACTTACCTTTGATATCTCTATGGACAATCATATTACTATGCAAATAATGGACCCCCTCCAGAATCTGACGGGTATATTTCCTTGTCACATTCTCAGTAAGAGCTCCATATGCTTTTAGTTGGTCCTTAATTGAACCCTAGAATAAAAGAAAACAACTAAACCTTCAGCTTAAAATAAAAATTGTTACTAAATCCTTATTTTTAAGAGAATCCTAGTTCATGGCTGAGAGACTATAAGTGGAGAGGGCAGGAATTCTCAGGAAAATAACTGTAGTTTCTATTCTTTCAGATTACTTATGTTGAACTAATTTCTTTGAGATTAACAAATTATATGGTTCCCATGTTTGTAGATCCTTTAATACAACCACGATTTGTTTTGGAAAACTAATGTTTAAGCTAACTTACAATGGAAGCAGAATATCTGAAAACATAAAATAGCAAATAGATCCAGTGAGTAGCAGTGGTATCACTGTAACAACAATGCATAACGGTAAGAGTTTCTGATGCTTGTGTGACATCAACAATGTCTCCAACAGCACTAGGTACTGAATCTGCAAGCTCGAATGGCAACTTTGTACCTTCACCATGTAACTCTAGCCATCTACTACCATAAAGACCCATAAAGCAAATTTCTTCTTCCTAACTTACTCTACTAAATTATGAGAATACTTTTTTTTTCCTTTTTAGTTTTTAAAACTCATTTTATCAAGTCTAGGTTGGCCTTGAACTTGAAATCCTCTTACCTCTACCTCCTGAGTACTGCGATCACAGAGGTGTGTCATCATGCCTGAAGTAAGGCACCTATCTCTTAATGAATAAAGATGCTAACTGCCATCTTGAAAATTTATCAGAATTAAAATTTACTCTATATATACAAAAAAAGAACTATAGCATGATCACAATTTCATTTTGCAATTATGAATGAAATCACTGCCACATTCTCCTGTAATAATTGTTGTCTCCAAGGACTCTGTCTGCTAACCTAGGCCTATTCCTGTAAGCTTCTAGCCTCCAGACAATCTAACCTAGGCCTAAAATGTTTTCAGCCTCTGAGACTTACTGCTGAACAAGCTCACCCTTTCTAGTTCTTTCTGAACTCTGGCTGGCTGGTTCAACTCAGCTGGTTTAACTCAACTCCTCTTCAAGCTGACTGATTCAAACTGGTTTCTCTAGCTTCTGACTGGATTGCTCTACTTGGCCTCATACAAACTTTGGCAATCTATTCTAATCTTCTGGCTCCTTCTCATTCTCTGGCTCGTACTGTTCTTACCTTTGTCTAGCTTGTTCTCCCTCTGCAACCTGTCTCTCTGTAACTGCCCCAGTAAAACTACCCTCTCTCCTTTCCCCCTCTCTCTAATTTGCCTCTCCTTCCTGTCTGTTCCCATGTGAGTTAGGCATATCCTATCTCTGACTTATTCTGTCAGTTCTATCTCTGATTCATCACTTTCAAACATGGCTGCTTCCTTCTATATATTAACTTTACATTCATTGGTTGGTATTAAAGGTGTGTACTAAGGGTGTATCTGTATTCCCCAGCCAGAGGGATTAAATGTGCCATGTGTCTGCATTCCATACAGATCACACAGACTGAGAAGGTCTTAGGATGTGGTCAGAGCAGCCATGTTGCTGAATTAAAAGTGTGTACATGTAATATGCATACATATATGTATATATACATATTATAAATGTATAATAGCATATAGTACATATTTAAAAATCAGGTAATATTTAAAATTGAGTATTTCTATGTACCAGTATTACATTTCAGATACTTTATTGTCTACAAGAAAAACTAAAACTTTATAATAAGGAGTCAGAGCATGATCATTCTACTCTTATGAGCAATCAGCAGTTCTACAGTGAGACCCTAAGTCTGACTGCAGGCAATGCCAGGTACAAAATTTCATCTATGATAAACCAGATCAAAAGGGCTGAACTGAAATCTCTTCACCTTATTTTTAAAATGAATGTGAACTTACCCCTGGCATATACTCCATAAAGATGGAAAGTGTTTTCTCCTGAGGATCCCTCAGACAGCCATAATACTGAACAATTCGCTCATGCAACAAGTTTTTCAACAACTGAATTTCACACTCAAGTGCATTTACTTCCTGAAAGACAGAACTCCTGCTAAGTCTTTTTTTTTTAACTACATTTCTCTGTCTGTCTATGTGTATGTTTGTTTGTACATGTACCATGAAAACCATATAGAAGTCAGAGACAACTTGCAGGAGTTAGTTCTTTCCTTCAACCATGTGGGTCCCTGAGAGGTGGATTCTAGGTACTAACTTCAGGTTGACAGGCTTGGTGGCAAGCACCTTTATCTTCTAAACAATTTCACTGGCCCTGTGTTAAGTCTTTATAACATTATAACAAAAGCAAAACGCTCTTATCTCATGGACTATCATGGTGATTTCATAATGAAATGTTCACTGTTACATACACCATTTTAGTCTCTAACCAAAATATATATTTTTTTAATTTTAATTTTAATTTTTTAACATATGTGAATTTGCCTGGGTTTGTCTGGACCACAAGTGTACAGTGCCCTCAGAAGCCAAAAGAGGGTGTTTGATCATCCCTGGATACAGAGTTATAGACAGTTGTGAGCCTCCATGTGGGTATTACAAACTGAGCCTGGGTCCTTTCTAAGAGCAGCCAATGTTCTCAGCTGCAAGCCACATCTCCAGACTTCAATGCCTTTTATTTAACAGCCGTGGTGGTTGCACACTAAGGTAACAGTAAGTCAACCTAGAAATACAAATGAAGCACTAAAACAGCTGGTCATTTACCACAAGCCCCCAATTCCACTGTATGTTGTTTTCTTCCATTTTAAAACTTTCTACATATATTTCATCTGTCTTGGGGAGGGGTGCACACACATGCCACATAACAACTGTGGTTGTCAGGGCTGTCAGAAGTACAAGCTGGCTCTCCTCTTCTGCCCTGTGGGTTCTGGGGAATGAATGACATCTCTAGGCTTAGAGCAATCTGACTAGTCCTGCTTTTGTTTTTGTTTTGTTTCCCCTCCAGAGAAAAACAAGCTTTTACAGTGGCCAGGTGATCTGCATAATGACTTTTTACCTTGCTGGTCTCTGGGCTGTCAGGGTTAAACTGAACTTGTTTAACAGCCAGTTCTCTTCCGGTATCAACATCATAACAGAGGTAGACCCTACCAAAAGCTCCTTGGCCAAGCAGTTTGCCCAATCTCCAGTTGGTTGGAGCTCGAGGTGCTGAAAAAGAACATATTCTTAAAATGAAATAGATGTGATGCAGTGACTGAACATAACTGAACATTCTAGACACAAGGAGAAATGATGACCATCCAAATCTTTCAAAAATGTTCTCATTATTCTACGAATCCTAATTCAATGTTTGTATCTCATGACTCACTTTTTCCAAAATGCAAATGTAACATCCATCTTTCACTCAATATAAGATACATCGACTATATGATAACCTATTTTCCAGTTTTACTACAGCAAATTATAAATATTTGTAAATAGTCTTAACACAGAAGTCTGCAACTCCAGCTCCAAGGAATTTGATGCCTTCTAGTCTTAACTGTCACTGCACTAGTGTATATGCGGTCCAGTCTCTGTCTGTCTCCCCCTATATACACACACACAAACACACATACACACACACACACACACACACACACACACCACTAAAATTAAAATCATTTAAAAAAACCAATTAACATATTAAGATCTGGATGGACCTTTGCAAGGCAGACAACATGCAAGACCGGATGTACAGTCAAATGAAACTGCTGGAATATGCTCCCTCAATAAGATCATAAACAGGTAAAACCCTTAAGTGCCAGCACTTGGGAGGTGGAAACAGGAGGATCAACAGTTCAAGGTCATCTTGGTCACCTTCCAATACCCATGGAATTTGAGGCCAGTCTAGAATACATGTTAAGATTCTGCCTCACAAAACAAAAGAGGGATTTCTCAAAGGAGAGTGAGAATGAGAGAACAAGGACAAGGGCATAGGTGTGGAGCAGCAGCAAGGAGCACAGGAACAAAGAGCAGGTCTGAAAAGCAGCCAGACAGAGGAAAGAGCACACTATTTCCTGAAGAAGACAAAGATTAAAAGTGAATTCCTCTTTGAAGAATATAAAGGCCAGAAGACAAAGGATAATTTGAAAGCACTGGTTTTCATTTTTTATTTCTTTAGAAAATTTATATGCAGAAAAATATCTTTCAAACAATGAAGGAAAAAATACCTTTCAAACAAATAAATGTTAAATGAATGCATTACCGATAAACTTATATTACAAAACAAAAAGGTTAAATTCAGTTCTTCAAGCAAGAATACTATACCTGACTGAATCTTGACTCTAAATAAAGATCTACAGAAACAGATAAACTGAAGGTTTATCTCTTCTTTTAGTTGGAGAAAAATAAAAGAAATAAAAAAATAAATGAAAGATTTTCTTTCCTTCTTTTGTTTTGTTTACGTGTACGGGTATTTTCCTATACGTGAATCTGTGCACCATATGTTTGCCTACTGCCCTCGGAGCCCAGAAGAAGGCATTGGATCCTCTGTAACTGGAATGACAGACAGTTGTGAGCTGGGAACTGAGCCAGGCCCTCTGGAAAAGTAGCCAGTGTTCTTAACTGCTGAGCCAATTCTCCAGACCCTTCCTTCCTTATTTTCAATCTCACTGAAGACAGTGGTCAAGAACAAAATAAACATAAGGTAGTATGGGGTAATAGATGTAAAAGTAAAGAATGACAACACTGACCAAAACAAGGATTTAGACCATGCAAATTTTGTTACAATACCTATCTTCGAGCTGGAACATGAAGATGCTGGTGATAAAGTTCAAATACTTTGCACTCTAATCTCATTTACCATGATAGTCCTATTTCCACTATTTCAATAAGATCACTTCACATAAATAAAAATGAGAATGTTTCCAGAGAGGACTAACTGAAAAGGAAAGACCCAACCTAAATGTGGGGTCACTCTCCCCTGGGCTGGGAATCCCAAAAAGGATAAAAGAACAAAATGTACTCAAAATGATCATGCTTCCTGACTGCAGACTAAACGTGACCAGCCTCTTTGTGTTTTACTATCATGCCTTTTCTTTTATGATGGACTCTATCCCCAAAACTCATCCGTCAAAATAAACTCTTAAGTCGATTTGGCCAAGTATTTTGTCACAGCAACAAGAAACAAGTGAATGCATACCCTTAACAAATGTTACAGGTGTAACACTAACTCCTCCATGCCACATATGCACACACAAATACACGCGTGCGCACACGCACGCACGCACGCACGCACGCACACATATACATACAAACTGATATACCCAAAGATAAGAATGGGGCTAGAGAGATGGCAACTCAGTGCTGATGGAGCTATTTTGGAAAGTTCTGAAAACCTGAGAAGGTGGAGCCTTGCTAGAGAAAGTTTATCACTGGGTAGGAGGGTGTCTCTGAAGGTTATACCTCATCTCCCTAAGCCTAAACCTAAGCCTCCTAAGCCTAAGCCTAAGCCTAAGCCTAAGCCTAAGCCTAAGCCTAAGCCTAAGCCTAAGCCTAAGCCTAAGCC